GCTTACAGCTGTTCCCGAAAACCTTGGGAATGAGCGCGTTTTTTTTGCGCGCGCGAACGAAGTGAGTTCGCGCCGAAAAAGGAAAGCCTCACCCGATTGGGAAGGACCACGCGCGACCGCCACTCGTTGCCGCGTATGACCCTCGTCCCAACTGCCTCGGTGCGGATATGAAGTTTGGCGCCGATCCGTCGCAGATAAGGTGCAGTAGGCCGGGCAGGCTACATAGGGTACAAAGACGCCTCGAGTCTATAATCAAATTAGTATTCGAGATGGGATGAGTATACTGGCGGTATGCGCACCTCTTGGCCTACCCGCTAGCCCCTGCGCTCCGTCAGATGAGCGCGCGCTCAACCAGTTATCCCACAGATATTCTTATCACCGATCTCTCATAGACCAATGGATGAGATAAAATTTAAATGTCCATCATGGTGGTGTTTGCCAACTGTAGCGCGACGCGGCGCGTCCGAGTCTCGGACGGCCAACTAGCTGGCCAACTGCTCTTTGCTTTCGAACCATGACGAGCTCGAGGACGGACTGCGTCATCTCTCACAGACGCTTTTCCGCATCACAATACTACGGCTAAAGATGGAAGGAAACTGGCTGGTATGTCAATGTCGTAGCATAGAGGCCATTGTTGCAGGCGGGTAGCACCTACATTAGGTACATGATCTTTCCGCACGACCCCGATTTACTTGCTGACACTGCCATAGAGCCACCGGTACATATGTATTATGCTTATTAGTTTCATGAGACAATATTGAGCGTAACCGCCGATGAACTTTCCCGCCCGAAGCATCAAACTCGTCTATCAAACTGCACATGCAACGCGATGGCGACACTGAATCCCATCTTCACAAGATAAGACGGAATCGATGCGAGATCTATGCAACGCTACAAAAGTCCAACACTACCGAGAGCGCAAACACCGACCCTCAGATGCCAAAATGCACAAACGGCGCCCACCGCACGACATTCTTCTCCCCCACCTCTTCCCTCAACCCCCTCACCGCCTCGTGGAGAGCGTACGCCGCGCCTGTACCGGATTTCCCAAGCTTACCGGATGCACGAAGCCCGAGAAGCTTCTTGTAGTATGCCTCGACAACCAGAGGCGCATCTTGGTCGCGAATCGACCACATTGTCGCGATGACGCCCTTGTACCCGACGGCCAGCATACCCGCTGCGAGGTGCATCGACTCCTCCGGGATCTTCACGTCGCCGACAGCGGTCTGGCATGCGGAGAGGAACGCCAGTTCTGCGTTATCCGCCGTGGTCGCCATCAGATCGGCCAGAGAAAGCGGACCATCATGGAGCACGAAGGCGCTCTTCAACGGGTCGTCTGCGTTCTGCGAGCCATGGCATGCGAGGTGCAGCCATGGGTGCTCGCTCAGCACACATTTCGCGGCACCCGTTGTCGCCTGCTCATCATTCAAGATCGAGAATGGGGCCTTGGCGTCTGAGAAGATGTCGCACAGCCGCTGTCCTTCCTCGGTCGCTCCTGGTAGCAGCGGCAAGCTGGGCGCAGCCGATTGGGTCACGATGAGCGCACTCGGATTAGGATGCCGCTCCTTCGATCCGTCGAGACTGCGTGCAAGGGCGGAGAGGGATGGGGTGTATGACGAGATCACGAAGTCGTACACACGTGGTCCTGATTCCTCTCCATAGATCCCTGCTGCGTGCAATGGCAACTGCGTGAGTGGCCCAGTAGGACACCATGTAATATGAGGGTGGAGATCGCGGTGCGCTTTCTAGAAGGAGCAGATGTCAGTTGCATGTTCAATCACCACCCAGTAATGAAACACTTACAGCATCGAAGAGATCTAGTGCTTGCAGTACAGGTAGCACTATCCATTTCCAAAGACAGCCCAAGATGTATGTGGAAGGATCCTCGCGCGAGCGCGGCAGCTGCTGCACTGCCATCCTGTGCTCGCGGACGTCTAGCTGCCGAAGACACAGCTGCCACTTGGACCGCAGTATCTCTGCCTTGGTCATGGACAGGTCCGGTAAGGGTATAGATGTAACGTCTCCTTTCGGTCCCAGGATCAAAGCATTGCAGCGCATCTTGTTCATATTGACAAAGACGACGAAGCCATGATCTGCAAGCGCCGAAGATGGCAAGAGAGCCGAGAGCGTCTTCGGCCGCATGAAGTTCTCGAATCCAGCCTGACGACGAATGTCTGCGAGAAGAGTCCCGTGTTCGATAGCCAGACCACGATGACGGTCTGTCCCTGTATGGGGATCTGGTGAGAGGAGGGTAGAACCATCTGCGATGGCAGGCGCTTCCTGGCGCAGCAAGTCCTTCTCCGAGTTCTGAATGCGGATCTGCACGTCCTTGAGGGACCGCGCAAGGGCTGGATGTTTCTGCTCCAGTTCGTCGAGTGTGCCACGTAAAGAGTGTATCTGCGACCAGACAGAGGACCTTCCGGCCTCGAGCCACTCTATGGCCAGCGATAGATCACTGGCATCAATCGCCGCTAGCACGGCAGCGCTGACGAGGTCACCGATCTTCTGCGACTCCTCAAATCGACGCGACATGCTGTATCCCAGCCAAACAAGCTCGGGGACGATGTTGAGAATGCGCGAATGAGCGGCTAGCAGATGGTCGGGCGAGCTGAACTGAGGGAACTCGGTATGTAGCTCTATAGCCCGTTGTGCGGCTTGCTGTCGCACAAAGGGCGCCATAAGACCCTGTGCAGCCACGGCCATGTAGCATGATGAAGCTTCTTCGGAGCTTTCACGAGTTCCCTTCACCCGTAGGTACGATGTGAGGATGTGGCCGAGGTTCCCCAGCCCTCCCACGGTGACGTCGTGCGGATGCTCTGGAGATGATAGCTGGACCACCCGGCGGAGTAATGTCACCCCGCGCTCGAGGTCCTCCAGGTCGTTCGAACGCTGAAAGCGGACGTCGAAGAAGACTCCGAGATTGTTCAACGATGATAGTAGACTGGGATGGTCTTGAGGCGTAAGCTCGATAGCCTGCTGTTGCAATGTGATGGCACGATTGAGGTCATCGAGATCACCCAACCTCAAGAAGCGCATGTGTAGAGAGGCTGCGAGGTTCTTGATATGTGATGGCCGCTGAGGGTCATCATGCAAACTCAGTTCAACTGCGCGTTGTTGGCTGTCCAGGGCATGCATGATGTCGTTGACGTCCCCGGAGTGTTGAAAACGAAGGGATTGCGATGCGCCCAGGCTTGCCAGCCTCCCAGGCATGTCAGGATGGCCTTCCGGTGTCAACTCGACCACACGATGATGCAGCGCAATCGCGCGCTCGAGTTGATTGATCTCGTTTAGACGCAAAAAGCGCGTCCTAAGGCATCCTGCGAGGTTTTGTATACGGCTTGCTTCCTCAGGATGTCCGCGTGGGGTGAGCTCGACTACCCGTTGTCGCTTGACGATCGAAAGCTCGAGGTCGGCAAGCTCACCGAATGTCATGAAGCGGAGATGGTATACAGACCCGAGATGGTCCAGGCGGGAAGGCATGTCAGGATCACTTTCAGAAGTGATCTGAACCGCGCGCAAATGCATTGCGATGCTACGCTCAAGATCGCTACGATTCCCTAGACGCTCGAAGCGATGTCTGAAGCACGATCCGAGATTACTCAGCCGGGTTGGTTCACTAGGGTTGCCAGGAGGGGTAAGCTCGAGCGCGCGGGTTAGTCCCTCGATAGCGTGGTCGATGTCCTCGAGATCGTTGAAACGTTGAAAGCGAAGACTGTGTAACAAGCTCAGAAGAGTCAGCCCCTTCGATTCATCGACCGAGTGGCCAGCCGGTGTAAGATTGATCGCACGCTGTTGGACGGTAATACCGTGCTCGAGGTCTTTGGGGTCGTGATAGCGCACATAACGAAGGCGATGCAAAAGTCCAAGGTTGTGTAGCCATGCGTGTAGGTATGGCGGATTGTCGGGTACGAGATCAATGGCGCGCTGATGCAGCGTGATGGCATCTTCGAGGTCCTCGGGAGCACCGAGGCGCTCAGAACGTAGCCGCAAAGCATACCCAAGATTGGCCATGCTCGTAGCCTCGTTTGCAGGGCCACCTAGATCAAACTGGATGGCTTTTCGCACCGCCGCGATAGCTCGGTCGAGATCATCGAGCCTCTTCCGCGCATGGTACCGCGTTCCATAGTATTGTCCTAGTTCGGTGTAGAGGTGTGCATCAGGTTCTGACGACTCATCGGCAGAGCGTTGAAGTGATGCGACGGCAATGTCAAGATACTGAAGGTCCGATGTCTTCTCGTATTGAGCGAAAGCTTTCGCAGCGGCAACTCGACCATCGGATGGCAGGTCCTGGTTGGTTTACCGAGATAAGCATGACAGGAAACAGTGCAAAAGTTCCGGTCATTAAGAACGTACTTCGAGATTGCCGGACACGTGTTCGCCAGGAGCGCGGGATGCGTCGGGCATAGCAAAAAGAGTTATTGTCAGGCGCTACAAAGTCAGAGTGGGATGTCAGCCGCAAAGACTGATGCAGCAACGCTATAAGAGTGAAGAGCTTGAGGACCAGAGGCGGGAAGTTGGGGCGGGAGATCACAAGCAAGCTGTGCTTTTGGCGTAGACAGGCGGGAGAAGCGTACGTGTATAGAGTATCAACACTGCTTAGCAAGCTGCGGAAGATCTTAGGGCTAACGGGTCAGTGGAATGTATGGCTCGGAGATACTGATGCACGATCTTGAACATTTTCCTCATACAAGAGGGATCATCCCGGAACTGAAGAGATACAAATGTATAACTTATCGGATACCACATGCAATTCTACAAGCGTCCGAAGCGTCTAATCGACCTTCCTTGCCCAGCGCCTAGCAGGCTGTGCAGCGGGTTGCTGTACGCCCGTCTGATACACGGGGCTCTTGGGCGGAACAACCACATCCACCCTCTGATCGTACTCGCTCCTCTGCGGCAACCGGCCCTTCTCATCTCCCGCCCATGTCTCCTCCTTGCGGCTCTCCACGGTGCCCTGCCCCCAGAACGCAACCATCTGGACGCCCAGGATGACGTTGAGCACTAGCGCGAGTAGGAAGCCGGCTGCCTGCAGCGAGTCGCCGACTTCGGCGGCATTGGTGAATAGGCGCGCTGCGCATCCTGCGATCTGGGCGAAGACGGCGAAAGCAGAGAGCTGGCCCGTCGAACGTGCGCGCTGGTTCTGGGCGATTTGAGGGAGCTTGCTGAGCGCTGAGAGCGGGAGCGTCGCGGCTTGTGCGTATGATAGCACGTGTTGAGGCGCCAAAGCCAGTCCGAGGGCGGATATTGCGGTGCCAAACGCGAGGAAGAGGAGTTGCGGTGCGCGCGAAGGTTTGCGGGCCAAAGCCGCGTGCGTACGCGGCACCGGGGCGTAGGCGATGATGAGGAAGTTGATGATGACGTTCTGCAGCGTCAAGAACGCGTTTTCGCCGTATGTGCTGAAGGGATAGTTGTGGCGCAGCGAATAGGCGGCGGTGATCGCGTAGGAGAGCGTCTCGAGGATGTACGCGGGTAGGGAGAGGCCGGCCGCGGACCGCGAGGAGGTGATGAGGAGTAGTTGAGGGAGCTTCATGATGCTACCGCCCACGACGAGGCCAATCCCGAGGCCCTTCGATACAGCCAGTTTGAGACATGGCGTGTCGCCAAAGTTAAGGTGCTCGACAATAGACACGTAGCATTTCTAGCGGTACATGAGCAGATTATCGTAAAAGCAGATTTTTAATACGCGTACCTCGTCTCCAAGTAGAGATATGCCGAGGTCGCGGATGGGACCCGGCAGGTTCTGGGTGATGGCCGTCATGGTACAAGGTGAGGTCTGGACCTACAACCGTCTACGCGTTCGCTCAAGACGCGTCGCGTATGCTTTGAACGTGGCACCGCGTCGCCACGTCTCCCGCGCTCTTCGGATCTCAGTGCGCATGCTTCCTTCTGCCATGATGAGGACCTCGTCGTTTCAATCCGGCTTGCAGTTCAGTTCTCACTTCTATCTTAACCGGCAGGAGACATGCAGAGTACTCTCGATGCGATGTACGGTCATCAAGGCGTTCCGCGTGAGCCATCTCTCATGTCTTGAAAGAAGGATATTGGTGATCACTCGTCGCCCGCCTCTGACCAGTCCAAAGAATCATCCAGTGATAAGGCTACGGTGACACTAAACATCGTTTTGGCTTCCTCGGCTACATTCTCTCGATACGCCCTACCCCGATCCACGCCCACTGAAGGCGGCGCACGTTCCTAGAGCGCGCGCATGAGCATCGTGGACCCATACTCAGAGTACCGAATTATGCACCGTATTCTTATATGTTCGCGATAAAACCCCCAAGAGAGGACGGAGCACGGCGACGGGCGAGCCTGTGCGAATGAACGTCAGCCCGGTGCCAACCAGTTGTGTCGCAAGCACGGCGGTGGAGAAACCGTACCCGAGATCACTGTCTGCGTAAGCATCCGGCCTTCCGGTGGTAAACGGTATGTCAAGCTGGCGGAGTGTACGACGGCTGAAGCTGTTTGGGCATCAGTTGAGTCTAATCGAGCTTGATCTAGAGCAGAGGACGAGTGATCTTACTCGAGGTTCTGATTAGCGCGAGCGACTGGCACCGTGCCGTCAAGAGGCACGGAGAAAGGGGCGGTCTCTTGGGTGCTGAGTGGACATCAGCTAGGCCCTCTGTGTGGATAACGGAGGATCATACACAAGACCATAGCGTGCCCGGCGCTCTCCAGCCGTGAGCGGAGAGCCGTCTGGGAAGCGATTGAAGCTGCTTGAACGTCAGCCGAGTCTGATCGAGCTTGATCTTTATGCAGAGGACGAAGAATCTTACTCAAGACCCCTGTTGTCAAGAAGTGGTACTGTGGAGCCAAAAGGTACGTAGAATGGGGCGTTCTCCTGGGTGCTGAGTGAACATCAGTTTAGCTTACTCTCCCAGATGAAGGATGGAGGGTCATACACAAGATGACGCGCAATCCTGGACAGACAATCCACATGAGACCGGTCTACCGCTCTTTCGATGAAATCGGGTACGTACACAATGCCCATCTCCCCCAGGCGCCGTTGTTCCTCAGGCGTGTAGGGCGAGCCGTTCGGAAAGAGGTTGCGACGAAGGACCCTGGATAGTATGTTCAGAATGACGTAGGGTCTGCGTAGCCATGATTCACTGACGTTTGCGCTAAGTATGCCCTTGCTTGCTGTTGCCCAAGAGTGCCAGCTTGTGACCCTACAGAGCTTTGCCCGAGCGTGCCCTGTTGCTGCCCGGAAGTATCTTGTCCCTGCCCGAGAGTGCCTTGTTGCTGTCCGGCAGTGCTTGTTTCCTGCCCGAGAGACCCGTATGAAACCGTATCACGGCGGAGTACGCTTGACAATGGTCTAGCATCACAGGGATCTCAGTACTGATCCAGTCGACGGCGAGTATGAGAACTTTGCGGTCGTACCTCAAAGTAGCGGTAGAAGCGCAGACGAGCGTCAAAAGAGTGATAGTGAAAGAGAAACGCATTTCAAATGAAAGGTCGTAACAAAAGATAAAGAAGAAGAAGTGGCAGAAGTGGAGAAAGAAGACAAACGGGGAAAGCGGGCTAAGAAAAAGAAATGAAGGAAGGGGAGAGCCGGCTCTACAGACCAAGACCGTCGATGGTCGACTCTTATACCGGTACTATCTCCATTGGTCAAGATAGTTAAGCATGTGCATCATCCTCTGTCACTGATAGACATCTATCTGCGTGCTCAGGGCGTTGATGAAGGGGATGTCGGGGATATCTGTGTTCCAGCGCGACGAATGACTGGAATGCGCTCAAAGCGCGCGACGGACGCGCATCATCGCTCTTGGGAATGAAGGAACTAGTGGTATATTCAGCTGCGTAGGCATATCCATGCAGCCCGGGTTGTGGGACGGGATAGGTAGACGATGGTGGTGGGAGCCAAGCGCGCTGATTGAGGCAAGGCGCGGCTATTGTTAGGCGGATCAAAACGCGTGACGTCACGCGTCGGTACAGCTCGCCGGCACCGCGCCTTGGTTTTCTGCAACCACGATGTACTTACTCGTGCTGTAAAAGACCAGATCCGCGAAATCCTGGACCCCATGCTGCTTATCATGATACTTCACCGCCACGGCGCATCTTCATCTTGCATTGTGATAGCGTGATAGCAACAGCACCCTTGACCTCGGGGATCTTCTTGTCGCCTGCCACGGCGCCGGTTGGACAGGCGGACAGGAACGTGAGTCCGATGTTGTCGGGAATTACTTCCCATCAACGCGTCGAGGGAGTAACGCTGCTGTAAACCGTAAAGTACTTTGTATACGGGCTGAAGGCTCTGCTAGCCGTACCAAACGAGTGAATTCGGGCGAGGGTACCAACATGATCACTGATCACGCTTTCCGCTCGCGCGTTCTTGATAAGTGCTGAGTAATACTCAAAAGACAGTGGGGTCAAAAAACAATGAGCGGCAGCGCACACGCCGTCCGGGTCGACCGCTGTCGAGCGACTCGGGCCTGAGATTCGGCCGAGTTGCGTTGTGCGACCTGTGTCCTGGACTGAGGCCTCGCACGATAGACTTCACCAGTGGGTGTGAGCAAGAAGACTGGGCGGTATAATACCGTACGTAGTAACTCGTTCTTGCGCAAGAGCGCACTCTCCACACGGTTTGCCTGCTTGAGGGCACTTCTGTAGGTTTGTACTTCAAATAACGTGCACTGCACGTTGCTTTGCATGGCTACTTATCCAAATACATGGTTTCATTTCAGCATTGTACAACACATTCACGGGTGATGACGATGGGCCGCGTAGTGCCCAAGGCTTTCGAACGCCGTCCGAGCTGCAAGACTCTGTGCGACGATGTTCACGCAACCATCGATGAAGCGACATCCTTGACGTCGCTCGGCATGATAATCCGCCCCAAGAACGTCTTGCCCGCTCGCCTATATATCCTGCGCGGTAGATTGGCGATAGGTCGAATGCGAACGGTGTGTAAGTGGGGCAGGTCTACCGGGCCCTTGAGTTTAGCATCAGGCTCGTCCAGGTTCATAGATACGAGGATTTCCATAGGTTCGTCGATTTGAAGGTGTTCTAGGCGAGGTGTGCCTCGTAGGATGTCCAGGGCGCGGTCAACCGACAAGATCAAACCGGTGAGGGTGAGTGAGACCAACGATGGTGCGACCAGTAAGAATGGCCGGCACCCAACAAGTGTGGCGTGCGTGAGCTTGGGCGCGTGGACAGTGGGATGCAACTTGTAGACGGCGCCAACGCGAGATGCGGAGTCGTCGATGTCCAAGACGTGCATTTCAGGGAGCCTCTTGCCGGCAATGAGGGAGGACCACATGTATGAGCGAGACTTGAGATTGAGCGTCTCGATGGTGCGAATTCCGTTGGAGACGGCGTGAATCAGTACATCCTCATGTCGTCCTTGAGGCGGGTGAGGGATCGACACAGTAAGCGGCAAGCCGCGAGCGCGTACTCGAAATGCGCTTGATGCATCGTGGGATGCCAGTGTCCCATAGTCTCGGGTCCATAACCTCGGCCAGTCCACACCGACGCTCCTCCAAAGTCGGTTGACATGAGTCAATCGGATCCATCCCAGATGACCTCGGCTGGGTTTATCCGTTTCCCAGAGTATATCGTAGAGGATACATATCACGTCCGCAGGTAGTTGTGGAGATGGTGTCACGTTGTCCAATGGTGTACTGCGGTGAACTAGTCAGTCTTCGATGCATGCCAAGGTAAGGCGATGGAAACACACTCTTGCGCACCAGACAGAGCTGTTCTCTGGTCCTCCTGTGATCGATGCGCATCTCCATGCATTAGGAGCGACGAGAAGGCGCGTGTCAACAACTCAGCACCTCTCGCCACAGCTTCCGACTCATCATACGAGGGTGGGGAGCGCAAGTATAGCGACATGGTGGACGTGGGCAAGTGATCTTGATAGCGCTTCCTAGTACGGGTCTATTCCGGGCGCTTGGGCGCTTGAATGAGCGTGGCGATGCGCCATAGGCACACTTCCTCGTCCCCACAGTATGGTGCAGCATGGTGCGCGAAAGCTCATGTCCCTATAACAGCACCAAGGGATGCCTCAAATCCCACTTGTGTCGGTTGTAGATGTAGCATGGCGCGGCCCACGTATAAGATGGGGCTCAAGCCTGAGCCTGAGTGCTTCGCGTGGTGGTACTTTGGACGTGGACATCCGAGCAGCCTGCCACGGTTATAGCACATGAGAGATTCGAAGTCAGATCGTTCCTTCTCGTAGAGGTTCTGAATCTTGGGGTATCTGGTCGTACAAGTCAGTGCCTATATTCACCTAGGAAGTCAAGATGAAACGCGCCCTTTTGCACTTTGGTTGCCTCCATATTGGCCCGCGAGCACACCTTGACCTAGCACTCTTCAAAACCTCACGTATCTCGTCGAGGAGCGAGCTCGGATCTGTGAGCAACCTGGTCTTGGTGTGAGCGAAGTTCAGAGTGAGAACATGATCCGCGGCCCGGGGCGCATTGATGCGCATCGCGTGTGGCGCGGTGACTGCGCACTGTCGTCCTCGTACCTCCATGACCTCGCCTGGGTTCACTAGCCTTCGCCATTGACCAATGCCCTGCGAGCTCCCAAACCAGGCTCGGAGAACTCACGCTAACAGCCCTTTACTGGAACATTGCAGCGCTGTGCACTTTGGTATTCTTCAGTGCGTAGCCTTTTAATTTATGCGGTGTGTTGTCTGCCCTCCTCGGATTGCCCTCCGCTGACGGCTCCTCTACCGGATGAGCGGGGCTCCCCCTCACAGTTATTCACGGGCATCACGGGCTAATCCCAGCTACATAGTCTTCGGAACAGCGCCAGTATAAAGAATGGCCGGCAACCGCCGCGGATGCAACGAATCCGCGGCATTTCCCGGGTTTGATGGGAGGATTCCTCCCGCGGCATGTTCGGCCCGGGCACCTATGCGTATGCCTTCGACAACCCCGGCCCTGAGGCCTGACGACCCTCCGGCACTCATGTCGGTCAATCGTGCCTACAGGGAACTACCCCCTCCTTCAACGAGTCTTATCTGGCCTGCTTGTCGTCGAACAGGTCTACAACACTGCACTGCTAGTGACGATCATAATATCATTCATGCCTAATACCTTCGATTGATACTGTACCGTATACGACTGAACACATTACATTAAGAGCGCAGAGGCTGTACGTTTGAATACTGAGTACTGAGTAACAATCCTTCCTTTTTGTGCCTGAGCGCTGAGCATCAGCCAGTCAAGTCGGCGGCCCTGGTGGTCTTGATGGGCTTGAACTGGCTCATCTGAACCCACGTCGCGGACGCCTTAGCCGCTTCGATGTATGCCGGAAGATCGGCGATAGGGCTCGCAGAGACAAACGAAGAAGCGTCCTTGACAGCCGCGGCGGCGGCTTCTGTGACAGCTTTGAGCTGAGCAGACTCGAGGTCCTTCTGCTAGAGGTGGAAGGACTGGTCAAAGTCGTATTCAAACAACGCGTAAGATATCACTCACGTCGCGCTCCATATGGACTCTGTGCTCCTCGCGCTCCTCACGAGTTTTCTTGCGCAGATCACGCTCAACCGATACCCATGCAGCCGCACCATGTACCGCGGCCCCAGGCCCGTCCTTGTTCTTCAGGAGATCTATAAGAGAGCCTGGTTAGCAGAGCCTCATAATGCAGGTAGTGCGAGATACAACTTACACTCTTGCAGCTCCGCGATACTGAATTCGTCATTCGGTATGTTCTCCGCGAATTGACAGGCAAGGCGCTCGAGCTGAGCCGCGGTCAGAGGATTGCGGGCCATTGCGCACGCTACGATATACTCTTGCATTTCCTCCACGGTTGCGACACGGCGTTTTCCGTTGAGACTCTTCTTCGGTGTCTGTGTGGGCGATCTGCGGGGCGAAGTTGAGGGCATTGGGGTCGATGGGGTTGTCGCGAAAGAGACACTAGTAGTGGCCTCGGAGAAGGCGGTGTCAAGCATGCTGTGTGCACCGCCCGATTTCGAGTCTGAAGGACGCGACGGCATCATGACAGAGACTTTTTCTACTTCGCCCTCGCCGTCGGTCACAGGGAAGAAGTTCTGAAAGAGGCACTTGGCTTGCCACTTTGACGCGTTCTTGAACTCAATCCAGACGTCCATGCGACCGGGGCGGCAAAGATCAGGGTCGAGCTTCTCGAGATGTTGCGTTGTGGCAAAGATGAGACGGCCTTCAGACTCAGTGAGGGCGTCCAGTGCGGCGAGTAGGCCCGAGGTAGTGAGTGCGTTGGAATCGGCGATAGGATCTGTGCTCTTGATCTCGCCGCGACGGGGACGGTGATGACTGGTGGTGGTAGTAGCTTCTTCATTATCTTCGTCGATGCCCGCTCTCTCACCCTTGACGACCTCCTGGGCCTTCTTCGTATCGTCGATGCTATGAGCACAGGCCGCGTCGAAATCCTCGAATAGGACTATACAACGCGAGGGCACACGACCCATGAGCGTTGCTAAGATGCCTTCGTTGATCCATGGTGAATTGATTGAGACGACGTATATGTCCAAACCGAGTTCGCCGGCAATGGCGTGGATGAGCGACGACTTGCCCGAACCCGATACACTGTGACAAGATATAAGCGTTGGTATGGGAAGAAGCGTGATATCGCATCATTCTTACCCATAGAGGAGGTAACCTCTCTTGAAGGGGAGTCCACGATCAGCATACCACTAAGGGAGTTAGTCAGCCAACTTGCACATGTAATCAGAATTAACCGCCGCTGCCATTGGTAGCGTCCGAGTGCAATACCCCTCGAGGGCTGGACACCGTACGTATGTCCCGAACGGACATGACGTAGGCGCATACCCGTATTTTCACGGCGAGTACAACAAGACATGAAGACCCGTACCTTCTCAGAGCGCAGGAAGTCCTTCGTGTCGGCAAGAAGCATTTCCTTGACGCCGGCATTGAGCACGATGCTTGACATAGGCCGCTTACGCTCGTTATCCGCCCAACGCCACGAACCATACGTATCAGCAAAGTAGATTTGAATCCTGTTGCCCGCCTCGTCCTCGTATTCGCGTTTCGCTTGGAGCACGAACTGCTTGAGCAGGCTGTCGTCCTTCGCGACGACGCTGGGAACATGATTTCGTATGTCAGCGAAACCGTGAGACTGCAGATAGAACGCGGAATTGAAACGGAAAAGTCTGCCGTCAGAGGCGGCAGCGTGAGAGGCCATTGCCCAGCCACGAGGCGCACGCTGCGAGCGGAATGCGCGATGTGCAATCTCAGGGTCTTAGCAGTCGAACCGCCGAGTGAAGCAGCACCACATACAAGAGCAAGAACCCACATACGAGATGGAAAGCAGCTCATAGCCGTTAGACTTCCGTTCGTGACTGACGTACAGCCAGTGCCCGCGGTAGAAGATGGTGTGAGTGGTATCTGCCGGGTTCTCGAACTGGCGCGAGCGCTGCCATTCGGGGTGGCGAGCAAGCCAGAACATGAGCCCTATATCATTGAGTCTGGTCAGCGTGATGTTGTGTCTGTGGCACGAGAGGTAGTGAGGAGCATGCATACAATCGTAAGGCATGTCTTCTTTGCTGTATTGCGTGACGATGAAGAATGTTGTGGAGAGTTTCAGACTCTGTAGAGTAGAACGAAGCCATTGCAGCTCGGATCCTGTGACTGTCGCGATTTGTGAGAGCGAGCTAGATGCAGTTTCATGTGGTGAGGCTGGAGGTGGCGATGGTTGAAGGCGAGCTTTCAAATACAGACGGATGTCAGTCGCATTCTCCCACGCAGGATGCTGCACGGTTCGGTATGTCTCTCATGAGCGAATCATACGCAAAGACCTGGGCAATAGCAGAGCGTACCTCTTTCGAATTGGGAAGGAGTGGCTTGAGCTCGTCGTCATGCATGAGTAGCAGTTCGTCAGGGTCATCCGGGTCGTAATGCTAGGCTGTATCAGTTAGAGTTCAGATTGAAAGTGGCGGTTCGTACTTCGACGATGATCTTCAGCGCGTACGCCAAGAGGCTTGTGTCCTATTCGAGAGGGCGTAAGTTAGGCATATGCGCAGGTGTCGACAAGCTCACCTCGCTCGTTGGACGAGCCGGTACGTCCAAAAGTTCATCCAAGCCGTCAGATGACTCGGACCCATCACTCGTGCCAGTATCCGTTCGGACTGCTGGCCCATCTTCATCATCCCGATCGGGTGAGGGTAGAACGTGTGGTCCTGCCGCCGCCTTCAATTTTAACCTACGACTGACGGCAAGGCGTCCACGAAGGCCTCGGACGAATATGCACTGATTGGCGAAGATGTTCTGGGATGGAAGGGATGGCGTCGTGGGGCCATTAGTGATGGCGACGGCGGAGTTGGGGACGTGGGTGTCGCTAGAATTGGCCTCGATTCCGGGAGAATGAGCAGGACCGATAGTGTGAGCGAAGCCATTCGCAGAGCCGAGAATGGAAGTAAGGCCGAGGCAAGATGACAGCACCGGTAAGCCGAGGTAAGAGAATAGAATGGCCAGGGTTGCCGCAAGAAATCTGAATAACTTGAAGTCGTCGGGCTTGGGTGTGGGTTCCGATATTGTCCGAGAACATTGTAGCTCTTCCGGCGGAGGACCAGACTTTGAGATGACATCTACCACCTCATGCCACTGCACCGAGCCGGTCAACGTGACGGAGAGTCCTGGCACTGCAATCGGTTCGACTTTGAGGCTCGCACGGGCGGTTTGGGAGGTGGTCTTGCTCCATGCTGTTGCCCATGCGCGTGTACGTTCGCATCCAGTGACCAGGATGAGATCTTCTAAACGTATATCCCGATCGTAATGATGTTGTCGAAGGAATTCGAGCCATGATCGATAGTGATCTCGAAAGTACCGCTCGTAGTGAGCTGTATTGTCCGCGACTCTGAGCTCGTGAAGATCATGGTAGGCGAGAGTAGCCCCTTGCTTGTGCACGTAGTCGTAGGCCAGCGAGCCTCCGCCGACGCCGGGCCTGACAGTCTATGGTTGAGCGAGGAAGATGCGTTTCGAATGAGAGACTCACGCCGATACGCTCGTTTCGAAACCAGTGGAGATACCACGGTGGGTGTTCAAGTACGCCGGTTCGCGCAACCATTCTCTTTGGCGATCGATACCAGTCTCGTGCAGCTCGAGCTTGACGAAGGCCGGAGGGACGCCGTGTATTTGCCGCTCATCACCTGCATCCCGATGGATGTTGAAGAGCAGTCGGAAGGTGCCGCGGGTTATGTATCCGACGTCCCCTAGATCCACACGAGGATTAAGCTCTATCATGGCTTCGTCGCGATAGCCGGGATGGGGATTGAATAGAGCATGGCCCCTATGCAAAGAACGCATCTTTGCTTCGTATCCTATACACGGGTCTTCTGAGTGCATGAAGGGGAGGAGAGGGGCACAGCTCACCTTTGGCAGAAAATAGCTGCGTATATGTATAGCTCTAGGCGCTAACTAGACACAGCCGACATCGAACTCCCCAGAGGTGTAGTTGTTGTACTTAGCCACGCCTAGTATAGCTGAACAGCCCCGCACACAGGCTTGGAAGAACGCTGTTCACAGCCTCATGCGTCAGAATCTACGGCATGATCAGCTTGTAAAAGACAAATAGTGAGGGTTTGATTGTGTTGCGAGTTGGAGCACGGCTACGAGCAGTACCCGGTACTATCGGTACGGGGATATTGCTACGCACAGCGCACATGGAGGACCAGAATATTTCTCCACACATCAAGTTGGGGAATTCTGAGCCAGAAGAGCGCGCTCTGGTATAAGTGGCCGACATAGAGATCCCATGTGTTCACATTGTATAGCGTAGACGCCCTTCGTGAGCGTCAAGAGCAAAAGCGCAAGTGCGCCTTGTCCGGCGCGCGTGAGAAGGTGTTCCGTGCTTGTTCCATGCAACGCGCCTCCACGCGTGGCGCGCACCGCCTTCCTTCAACAACCAGCTCTTCGCTGCCCACCGACGCGACGGTCATGGAAGCGCGAAGCAAGTGAAGATGGTGGTGCGAACTCAATCGCGAGAAGTCGTGTGTCGAATAATCCCTAACTGCGGGCCGCTTGGAGCAGGGCTTACCGCAGCGGAAAGTGCCATGCCCCGATTCGCGTACGATGACAGTTTTGTCGTTGCAAGTACCTCGCATCACCTGCCCTGCACAATCGCAGGGCCAAGGAAGAGTGGTAAGCGAGCGCGCTGGCTCGACAGGCCGAACCCGTCTGGCGTTTTGCAGCTGACGCGGTGGCGTGACTTTTCTCAGCCGGCTATCCAGCGCCGGGGGTGATTGAGCTAGTACCGTCGCATCCCGACGCATACGCAAAGTCCGCGCTTGCGCTTGCACCTCCATCATCAGCCCCTCACACTTTGCACGTTTCAGGCGCGGTAGAAGGAGATTCCGTCATGATCATATGGACTTCTTACAATGAAAACCGCTGGAATACGTTCTGTAGACGGATCTCACTGGAGCACGGTGGTACACTTCTACCGTTGACATTGAGCCGGAGAAGGTCCAGTATGGCTACATTTTACATGTTATGCATGAGTGATATCCCTACAAGTGTCAATGTGAAGTGAATCGGGATGAAGGGGTGGGATATATTCCGGTCATGATCCGGATGGGAAGGGCGGCATCGGCAAAGCGTTGGCGGCCGGCCCCGCCACACGCTCGGCGCCCGTGCTCCGTTTCCACAGTCATGCGCAGGCAAAATTGATACACGCATAGCTGAAACGCACACCATGGACCGCCAGCACTCCAACGCATACGGCGCTGCACCCGAGCAGTTTCAGTCCATAGACGATGTACTGCAAAGCGACCACGGTAAAGGTGATCGCGCCGAGGACTAGAGTTGCCGTCGGCCACGCTGTATATGCGACGACTAGCACGAAGAGAGCCAAGGTGGCTAGCGAGAAGAGCATGGACAGAGTAGGGGAAAGCGGGAGGTGGCGGCGAAGAAGACGTAGTTCTTGGATACGCGCCCGTATGCGAGTTTCTAGATGAACAACATCGGTGAGCACCGGCGAATTGGCGTGAGAAGTGAGAATGGTAGGTACCTGGAATGTATCTCCCGTAGCGTTGTAGTACCTGATCAAGAGAGCGCCGTCTATGCAGATTCCAACCGCTGCCGCTGCTTCCGATAGCGTTACCAAGCGTAACGCTAGTTTGTCCACTGTGAAGACGGTCCCGGATGAGAACCCAATTACTGTGACGTCGGCCCTAGTGATGTATTCGAATTAGTATACTGATACTAAACGGGTAACGTGACTGAGCGCTGACGCGAGGACTGCCGCGAGCTGCAATGTAAATCGCCGTCAGTCTTCTGGCGTGAGGCATTATGAGAGATACTCACGATACCGCAAACATATTTCCACTCGTCCATCAGTTGCTTGTGTATGCACTCGAAGTGTGTATCGAGGGTCGCTGAGCGCAGCTGATCGTAGTAGGTCAAAGATGCGCACAATCGTAATAGGGATGAATGTGACGATTCGGCCCACGTTTGAATCCTGGTTACCACGTAGGCCACGGGTAACAGGTTCGCGAGCACGAGTTCGTCAAGAGGTAGACTGGCGAAGGACTTGATGACAGTGGCCAGGTGGTCTTGCCCGTTATGCGAAGATGGGTTCTTGGATCCTTCGATAGCATCGCCATCGTAACCGGGAGATGGTTCACTTGTGTCGGTAGTGCTATAGAGTGGGCGACAATAAACAGGTGTATCCACGATCGTTTCAACGGGAAACTACCTTTCAGTATCACCAGACTGTTCCACGCCTGATTCCTGTGTATCTTCGTCCTTTGCGGTCCAGTCTTCGTCCTCTTCAGGATGCTGGTCATCGGGCTCACAGTCGTATCCATCGAGTATTAGGGACGTGCCGTCATCGCGCAGCTGTTCTGAGACATAATCAGTAGAGTTTGTTCGTGGTCGCTCCAAAGCACACGCACCGCCCATCGAGTTCCTGTCATCGTCAGACCATGAGCCACGGTTCCATATGTCGACTGCCAACCCTTCATCGTCTTGTTGAATACAGTCTATGTGATCCACGATAGATTGCCATACGTCGGCAGCGTCCCTAACCGTCGATGCTTCCAAGCGACCGAGGGATGCTGAATCGATATGACGGTCAGCAGAGCGCTACACGAATCATCTCAAGCGTACCGTCGTAATCTCCTCTTGTCATCAGAGCTGCTAGCTTGAGTGCATCTAGCATGTCTACAAACGCCGTGATGACAACTGTTCTGGTGGAGAAACCTGCGCCGCATGTCATTGTGTACTCCAGCAATCGATGTGTACAGGCCGCCAAGTGACTGAATAACATTCGAAGCCTCCTGGATTGGGAGTGCCCCGGCGTCTTATGCGGCGTCTGCGGCGTAATATTGGTAAGAGCGATATGCCACGAGGAAGACTACCGCGTACGTTCAGCAACACGCCGATCGCGACGAACAGAATATGACGCTCGAGCGTAGGAAATCGATCCTAAAGCGCTACTTGTCAGCATTCTCTCCGGCGATTGTTTCCGTGACTGACTTACCGTTTGAGTTACAGGCCGGAATTCCTCAAGTATCCGAGATAGGTCGTTCACAATGGAGTCCAGATCTGGCCGGATATCGGTCGACAGAATATCTTCACACCTCAGCGACAGCGTGTCATACAAAGCGCGCAAAACGGCATCGCTGTTGCGGCAATCGGATATGGCTGCGAAAGGAGTATCTTTGTAATGTCTGTTATCCGAAGTCAAGGGTGCGTTCGCCAAGAGTGAACGTTGACGAAAATTGTGATATTTTGCCCAAACAAGGTAACCCCAACTCCTGGTCAATCACGAGACCTGGTCAGGCCAAAAGTCATAGGGTTCGAAGGCCTTCGTTTTTGCCGAACGCACCCTAAAGAACCGTGGCGATAGGTGACGGCGTCCCACCAAAGTGCATAGTTGGGGTCTTGAGGCGAGACAGGCGACCCCGCGAGGTCTATCTAGTTCAAATTCATGCTCAGCACTGAAATGGATACGCAAGAGGAGACAGCACATTGGCAACCAACCGGGCGTCTACAGACTCGGCGTATTCTGAAATAGGCGAGGAACGGTCAGGTTCGGCCCAGTCTTGTGTAGGATCGGCATCGAAATAGAGAAAGGTTTTCGAACCAGTCCGGCGACGGGTCCAGAAGCGAGCTTTCAAGGTTGCGAACCAAGGCATGGGGGCCACAGACAAGGAAGCGAACGGCCGAGTGCGCGCATCCTGGTTCTTAACACGTTGAAGCGGTGCGTGCAGCACAGGTGCCTCAGGCGGCCTTTCTGCCCACTCCTAGTCTCGAATACCCTCAGCGTGCACAGCCTGTTGCATCCATAAGCGCCTATGGGGTCTCCCGAAATTCGGATACCGAAGAAGAGACGGGAGGCCAGGAGCCGTGACAGTCGGCAGTCAAAACGCGAACGACCTGTCGTGCGCGCTGGGCCCGCACCCACGCCTAAGGCGCGCACCACTGGCGCACCCAATCATACGGACTCTTCGATCCGGCGGCATGAGCCATGGACCATAACGCCAGATAGGGTTTATCGAGAGAGCATAGGGAGTTCATTACGAGGTGGATGTCATGCGAATAGACAGCACGTAGACGCTCGTCGTGAGCGTCAAGAGCAAAAGCGAACCCGCGCCTTGTCCCCGTGAGAACCCGTTCCACGCGCGACCCGTTGACGCGCCTCAGCGTGGCTCGCGTCACTCTCCTTCACCGACCAGCACCGCTGGCCACCCAACTCTACCACCATGAAAACGCGACGCAAGTCCAAAGCCGCCTCCTCCGCGGCCCCAGACGCGGCATCCACGCTCGAGCTGGCGCTGCCGGAGGAGCTGGACGTCGAGGCGCTCTCGTCCCTCCTGCCCGACGTCACACTCGAGAACCCGAAAGGGGAGGATATACTGGGCGTGTACGAGGTGCTGCTGAGTAGAGATGCGGAGCTGGAGGAGACGAGGCGGGCGCTGGAGGAGGCACGGGCGGAGGTGGAGAGGGCTGTGGTTGAGAGGGACGACGCGCTGCATCAGCGCGAGAGCGTGCGGAGCGAGGTCGAGGGCGAGATGGGCAGGGCGCTGGAGGAGCTCGAGAACGTGAAGAAGGAGAGGGACTCGCTTAGTATGTGCTGTTTGACTTTTTGTTGTTGTGGTGGTATCTGAGACTGGGTGCAGAGACGACGAACGCGAGTCTGCAGACGCAGGTGGCGACGTTCACTAGCACCAACTCGGCGTCGAGCTCTGAGCTGGACAGCCTCAAGGCGCGCGTGGCAGACGTCGAGCGGGAGAAGCGGGACTTGCTCGCCGTCGTGTCACGGATGAAAGAGGACGCGGCCTCTCAGGACGGTAAGCCCCTCACTTTCTTGTATACCAAGCCACCAGCTAATACGGTATACAGAGGAAATCAAGACGCTGCGCACGACGCTCAAAGACCTGCGGACCAAGTCCTCCGACAGCGAGTCCAAAGCACGCACCCTAGAACAAGAGCGGACGTCGCTCAACTTCCGGCTGGAGAGCATCGAGCAGCAGCTCGTCCTCGCCCGCGAAGAAGCCGAGCGCACCGCCCAGGACCTGACCGCGCGCTCTGAGCAGTACAGCGCCGAGCGCCGCACCCTCCGCGCCGAGCTCTCCACGCTCCAAACGTCGCATGACGAGCTGCAGTCCACGCACGCCTCGCTCTCCGCCCGCTTCACCGCCCTCCAAACGTCGCACACCACAGCGACAACCCAGCTCTCCACGGCCCAATCAACGATTCACGACCTCCGCTCCCGCCTTGCCGAGCAGGACGCCTCCTACGCGTCCGAAATCGCCGGCCTCAAACGGCTGGTCGGGATGATGGAAGCCCGCGAGGTCCAGGGCCAGGCGATCGTCGAGGGTATACAGGCGGACTACAACGGACTGGGAGCACGTGCAGAGCGCCGCGAGCAGGCCCTGCGTGACGAGGCGGACCGCGAGCGCGCACGGGCGGACGAGGCGGAGCGTAAGCGCGCGGACCTCGAGCGCGTGCTCGAGGGCTTGCAGTCTGGCGAGCTGCCCCTGCCTGAGCCGACGTCCAATGGTACACCCGCGCGCATCACTTCTACGCCTATTCGCACAGGCGGCACACCATGCTTCGGCACGCCCGAGAGCATGCTCTCCCCCGCCGCGTCCCTCGCCGCACGCGTGCAGCGCGGCGGGCGCACGCTCACGGACGTCTACGCGGACTACGTCGCGCTGCAACAGTCCTACGCGCGCAAATGCGCCGAGCACGACCGCATGGACCGCACGCTCTCCCAAGTCCTCGACGAGATCCAGGAGCGCGCGCCCGTGCTCGCGCAGCAGCGCGACGAGTACGAGCGGCTGAAAGTCGAGAGCGACGATTTGGCTGAAAGGCTGCGGGCGGCGTTGAGCGAGAGGGAGGAGCTGGAGAGGGAGGTGGGCGATGCGCGGGCGAAGGTTAGGGCGAGCCAGAAGGAGGTGAGGCTGTTGGATGCGCAGGCGAGGGATATGGGCGCGCAGGTCCAGGGTCTTCTTAAAGCGTTGGCGAGGGCACAGGACCCGCATCTCCCGCCGGACGAGGAGCTCGAGGCGCTCGCGGTGCAGGGCGACAGCATCGACGCGGTCATCTCGAACGAATTGGTGTTGGTTGCGAGCATACCCGCTTTGCAAGCGCGCAATCAGCAGCTGCTGGCGCTGGTGCGGAAATTGGGCGAGCAGCTCGAGGGCGAGGAGCGCGAGGTGCACGCGGAGAACGAGGCCGCGCTCGGCGAGGCCGCCGCGGCGATCCGGGGCTTACAGGCCGAGAACGAGGACACGCGGCGCGCGTACGAGGCGCAGATCCGCGCGCTCATCAAAGAGCGCGATACGCTCAAGGCGCTCCGGTCCGCCACGAACGCTTCGGCTGCGCTTACGGTGCAAGGGCAGGAAGAGGGCGAGAGCGGGCTGGAGAGGGAGCTCGAGGAGGTGCAGGCGCAGTTTGAGCGGTTTAGAGAGGAGGCGGATGTTGATGGGGCGAGGCTGCGGGAGATCGCGTTTGGGGCGCAACGCGAAGTTGCGGACGTGCAGGCCAAGCTCGCAAAAGCCAACGCGAACGTCGAGTTCCTCAAGGGTATGCCCCCATCCTCTTCCTATGCCCTCTAGATTCACTCACTGATGCATTTGTTTGGTAGAACGCCAAGCTGCAGCTGCAGACCGCGCCGCGCAACAACAGCGCGAGCTCGACGCGCTCTCCGCACGGCACGCCCAGGCCCAAGCGCACTTTGCGTCCGCCGACGCCCGCGCGGCCCGCCTCGAGTCCGAGCTCACCGACGCCCGCGCGCGCGCAGACCGCGCCGTGTCCGACTCCGCGAATGCCAAGGCCGAGAAGCGCATCATCGAGTCGAGCTTGACTAGATTGGTGGAGGAGAATAAGAGCCTCGCGCAGCAGAACGGGCAGCTCGCGGGCTTGGTGGAGCGGGTACGGGTGCTGCAGGACGACGCGGCGGCTGCTGCTACGCGCGATCGGACGAGGCTCGAGCGCACAGTTGAAACGCTTGAGAGTCAGGCGGAGGAGCTGAAGAGGGAGCTGAGCGATGAGAGGGAGCGGCTGAAGGAGGGGCAGACGCGGTGGGAGGTCGAGGTTAGGGAGGTGCGGGAGGCGAAGGATCGGGCGACGGAGGCGCTTATTAAGGCGGGCGAGGAGGCGGGGCGGGCGAGGGCTGAGGAGGCGCGGCTTACTGCGCGCGTTGAGGAGTTGACACGACAGCTGCAGGGCGCGGAGGAGAAGCTCGCTGTGTACGAGCGCCGGCCCGCCACTACCACCACCACCTCCTCTGCTGCAGCGCACAATGGCGACGACACAACTTCGAACGACGAGGAGGTCGCTGAGCTCCGCGCGGCGCTCAAAGTGGCCGAGGTGGACCTCATCAACGCGCGCGAGCACGCGGAGCAGTTCAAGAACATAAGCCGCGCGAACGAGGAGGCGCTCGAGAGCCTCACGGCGACGCACGAGCAGTATACGAGCGCCACGGCCGGTCAGATTGTGCAGCTCGAGGTGCGTTCCCCTTCCCCTTTACTCACTCAATTGCGAGGAGAGATGCTGATTGATGTGTGCTTTACAGGCCGACAAGACCTCGCTCGAGCAGAAGATTGAGCGCCTCCAGCGCGACGTCCTCGAATCCAAAAAATCCGCGTCCGAGTCCAAACGGCTCCTCACGTCCGAGCGCGACGCCTGGGCGGCCGACCGCAAGACGCTCGAAGACACCATCGTGGAACTCTCCTCGTCCTCGCAGTCCGCCGCGGCGGTCCAGGCCGCGCGCGAGTCCGAGGCTGCCGCTCAAAGTTCGAGAGTGAAGGAGGCGGAGGAGAGGTACAATCGCGAGGTGCTGGCGCATGCGGATGCATTAAGGCAGCTCGAGGAGGTGAAGGGCCAGCTGGCGGCGTTGAGGAGAGAGGCGCATGAGAACCTCGCCAAGGCGGAGACGGCGAGCGCGAAGCTGAGCGGGGCGGAGGGCAGCTGGGAGAGGGTGCGCGAGGCGATGCAGAAGGAGCTGGACGCGGTCAATGCGCGGGTGCGGGAGCTGAATGAGCAGAATAGGGTGCTGCATGGGCATCTGGAGAGTGTGAGCGCGCAGGCGGCGCAGATCAGGCAGGCCGGCGAGGGCGCTGGTGCTGCCGGTGCCGGAGAGGGTACTGGGGAGGGAGGGGAGGAGGGAGAGGCAAAGGATGGCGAGATGCGGCAGGTCGTGAGCTGGTTGAGGCGCGAGAAGGAGATGGCGGAGATGAAGCTCGAGCTCAACAAACAAGAAACCGCACGCCTGCGCACACAGGCGACCCACCTCGCGCGCGACCTCGACGACGCGCGTGCGCAGCTCACATCCGAACGCGAGAAAGCCGCGTCAAACGCCGGCAACGAGGACGCGCACAAGGAGCTGCTGGAGAAGATAGCCCAGATGAGCGTGCTAAGGGAGAGCAATGCGACGCTCAGGGCGGATAAGGAGGCGAGCGAGAGGCGGGTGAGGGAGTTGGAGGGGCGGGTGGCGGAGATGGAGGAAGAGGTTGGGCCGTTGAGGGTGAGTGTGGGCGAGCTGAGGGCGGAGGTTGAGGCGCGGGGGTTGCAGGTCAGGCGGTTGGAGGAGGAGAGCGCGAGGTGGCAGGCGCGGAATTCGCAGTTGTTGGCGAAGGTGTGTTCTTGGTCTTTGAGATGCGTTGGATGATGTGAGGCTGATGTTTGTGGGTAGTACGAGCGTATTGATCCTGCCGAGCTTCAAGCCGTCCGCGACGAGCTCGCCAAAGCCCAATCCGACCTCGAGGAGAAGGATACGGCTATTCAAGCCCTCACCGAACGCGTACGTCCTCTCTCCCCTCTGTCATTATCTCCAAACATACTCATTCGTGTGCTATAGGCCGAAGCAGCCGAGAAAGCCGTCGAAGAAGCCAAACAAGCCCGCCAGAAGTTCGTCGCGCGCGCGAACGAGACGATCGGGCGGCTCAAGGGCGACACGGCCTCGCTCAAGCAGCAGATCGCGCAGCTCACACAGGAGAAGCAGGCTCTCACCGATCAACTTGCCAGCGCTTCGTCCGCTGCGCCTGCGCCTGTTGTGGATAATAGTGCGCTGGAGGCGGCGAATGCCGAGCTTGAGAAGGTCAGGGCCGAGTTGGATGTTGTGAAGGTCGCGCTTGAGGCGGAGAAGGCGAAGGCTGTGCCTGTCGTTGATACGGCTGCGTTCGAGGCTCGCATCGTACGTGCTCTTTACCTCATTATATAGGGCTCGTGCTGACGATGTGATACAGGCTGAGCTTACGAAGGAGCGCGACGAGCTCGCGGAGAAGGTCGCGAATGCGCCTTCGGCGTCTGGTACGAACGAGGAGTGGACGGCTGAGAAGGCTACGCTTACTACGGCTCGCGATGGGGCTCTTGCTGAGGTTAAGGTGTGTATGCGACCTCTGGATATGTGGAGTCGGTCACTGATGGTTGTTCGTAGACTCTCAAGGATAACCTGGGCAAGCTCGAGAGCGAGGTTCGCGGTCTCAAGCAACAAGCGGTACGTTCGACATGCCTGAGTCTATATACATATGCTGACCATATCGCTACAGGGCACCTTCCAGGCACGCATTAAGGCTCTTACGGAGAAGGAGAACAAGCTCCAGCAAGAGCACGCCGCCAAGATCGAGGCCGCTGTCGCCGACGCCGTCAAGAACGTTCCGACTGACTCAGCTGCTCCCTCTGAGGATATCGCCGCGAAACATGTCGAAGAACTCAAGGCACTCGAGGAACGTCTTCATCGCGAGCACGAGGCTGCGCTCAAGCAAGCTCTCGACGCCGCCGCTGCATCCGCTATCACGCCCGCACCCGCCGAACCCGCGGCTCAGCCCGCGGACCTCGAGCAGAAGCTCAAGGACGCGATGGAAGCTGGACGGAAAGAAGCCGACGCCAAGATCCGCGTCAAGGATAACCAGCTCGTGCGCGTGCAGAAGAGGTTGAAGGATCTCGAGGCGAAGGTGCTCGAGTGGGAGAAGGAGGGCAAGGTACCTGCCGGATCAGCCGGTGCTGCTCCCCCGCCTCGTCCGGCTGCTGCCGCTCCTACAGCGCCTGCTGCAAGCGCCGCACCCGCCGCTTCTGCTCAGCCCGCAGCGGCCGCGCCAGCGACTGTCACGCCCACTGCGTCCACGTCGTCTGTTGCCGGTGGCTCCGCTCCTCCCGCTGCAGCGCCCGTTACACGCGCCGCCGCCGCTCGCGGCGGTGCACCCGCTCCCGCCGGCATCCCGCGCAAACCCTCTGTCGCTTCCGCTGCTCCCGCCGCATCATCCGCACCAGGCCCCGCAGCGCGCGGGCGCGGTCGTGGGCGCGGTGGACCAAATGTACGCGGTGCGCCTGCAGCTGGAGGTGTATCGATCATGGGCGCTGCCGGGAAGCGTGGGCGCGAGGAGAATGATGTGGGCGATGCGCTCGCGAAGAGGTTGAGGCCTGCTGAGAGTCTCAGGGGTGGTGGAAGGGGTAGGGGACGGGGTGGTGCTGGGGCCGGTGCTGGGTCTAGTGGGGATGCTGCGTAGGGGATTGCGTGCTGTCGTGTCCGTATCATCTTGCTGTTTACCGTTTTGTTGCTGCACTGTAGTTGTATTTGTCTGAGCACGAACGATTTCATGTCTTGTTCTGCATATATCTTTTTTCGTTCTTGACACCAAGAGAAAGTACAGGATGGTATGCTTTAGCGTAAGTATCTATCTCATCCCGACCTCGTCGGCCTGTCAGAACAAGAAGATTCCCGAGGAGTCCGCCTGGCTGCTTGCAGCCAGTTTCAAGGGTTTTGTTGCCATCGTAATCAAAGATGAAGATATGCCTATGATGGTGAAGTATGATACGAAGCTTCTTGGGGGTCAAAGGGCTGCAAATCCGTGCAGCGCGGGAAGCATAGTGCGGCGTATACGCTTCGCGAGTCTGCGGAGAGGCAGAGCCTCAATATGCAGCTACCGTACATGACCAAATCCGCGTGCACGGTCTTTCGCACAGGAAAGGTCGCTAGTATATGCAAATCATATCGTCTCGAGTGCATCGCGGTCGAAAACGAGGCGCGATGTTGGATGTTGGCGAGCTGTTCGGCATTGTGCCAACGTGTGACGTCACGCGTTTTGATCCGCCCAACAGTAGCCCCGCGTTGCCCTCGCGTTCTTGGCTCTCACCGCCATTGTCTATCTACCCCAGTTTACAACACTGGGCCCATGTACACGCCTATTCAGCCGGACCTATTACCAGTACTTCTCTTCTCTGCAGCGAAGATGTGCGCCCGTCGCGCGCTTCTAGCGCCTATCAGTCAACTTCGTTGTCGCGCTGGAACACAGATATCCCCGACCACTCCTTCATCAATGCCGTGATGAACGCAGATAGATAGATTTCTGCGCCATAGGATGATGGATATGCTGACCTCCCTTTACAAATGGAGATAGTACGGTATAAGAGGCGACCAACGACGGTCTCGGTCTGTAGAGCCGGCTCTCCCCTTCCTTCATCTCTTTTTCTTAGCCCGCTTTCACAGTTTATTTCTTTTCTCTTCGTCTCCCTCTTCTTCTTTTTCTCCTTTCGCTACGACTTTTTTTGAAATGCTTTTCTCTTTCACTTTCACTCTATTGACGCTCGTCTGCGCTGCTTCCGCGTCTTGGAGGTACGTCCGAAGAGTTCTCACACTCGCCCGTCAACTAGTTCAGTACTGAGGTATCTGTGACGACAGCCCATTCTCAAGATCATCGCGACGCGACACTTCTTCGAACGGCTCTTTGGCTCAGGGAACAGACCCTGCAGCCGGACAGCAGGGCACTCTCGCGCAGGGTACCTACGATTCGAACCAATATGGGAGTCTCGCGCAAGGTACCTCTGATCCGAACCAATATGGCTCTCTCGCTCAGCAACAAGCGAGGGCGTACTTGGCGCAAACGTCGGTGCATCATGGCTACCCGAATGCTCTGCATCAGTCTGAACATGCTATTTAGGGTCCTTCGTCGCAACCTCTTTCCGAACGGCTCTCCCTACACGCCTGAGGAGCAGCGGCGCTTGGGGGAGATGGGTATTTTGTACGTGCCTGATGTGATAGCAAGAGTGGCGAATTGATCTCATTTGCATCGTCTATCTAGGATTGCGCGTCAAGGCCTGGGTCTTGCGTATGATCCTCCATTTTTCATATAGAAGAATAGGCTGAGTTAATGTCCAATCAGCGACCAGGAGAACGCCCCTTACTACGGACCTCCTGGCTTTAAAGTACCACTTCTTGGCTATAGGGGTCTCGAGTAAGATCTTTCGCCCTCTGCACAGGATCAAGCTCGGCTGACGTTCAAGCAGCTTCACCCGTCGCTCACTCCGCCCGCTCGTCAGGCCGTTTGGCTCTATACCAGATCTTTACGCAGACAGTGATCTTGGGTGAGATCCTCTATTGCCGCGCTTGCGGTACAACTGCTTGACTCCGACCTGATGTTCATTCGCCCAGGCTCGCCCGTCGCGGTCGGCCGTCTGTAGGTTTCGCGAACCCGAGTGTAGTGTTTGCGGATATGGGAAGACGGTGCGGGGTTCTTTACTATGCGATATGGGTCCACGATGCTCATGCTCACGCTCTATGTAGGAACTTGCGTCTCCTTTGATGGGCTGAGATGGTGATAGGGTGTAACGAGAGATGATAACCGAGGAGGTCAAGACGAAGTGTACTATTACCATTACCTTATCATTGGATGTCTCTTTCTACTGGTACGATCAGAATGATTGTCGACATGTAAGACCCTAGGGGCGGTTCATTGCGGCACGCGAGTGAGGAAAGAGCTCATAGCCATTCACCGTATTGAAGCCACCTCTCCCGGCAGGGAGGGTGGCGAGAGCTGCAAGCCGAACGCGCACTTCGGACCAGGTCGCGGGGTCGATGGCATCTGGCTCTTGCATGAAAGGACGTCCAAGCAGAGCGAAGAATTGAGTCATGCTCCTGCATTAGCAGCGCGAGATGCGAGTGGCTCGGCGCCAAGTCGGGTTCGCACGCGCCGAACGCTCTCCGAGCCAGCTCTGCCAGGCTTGCCACAAACGCCGTTCTGCTCTTCGAGAAGGCCAACGCTTCATCATATGCTCTGCGCTTCGCGATAACGCGAACAGCCGCTATGCCTGAATATGCGACAACACCGACGTCTCGCCCCTTGCACCGACCTTGAACTGGCGATATTCGACGACAAATCCGCTAGGTGCATACGAACAATGGACGACTGGGAATACCATACCGATAATCGCGCTGGATGGAGCTCCTCTTGAGGTTGAAGTGCGTCCCTGCTCTCTGGCGAATGATCCACTATATTGAATGCGTTTTGTAGACTCCGAGGGATAGTCCATGCAAGCTCGAGAGTGAGCTTCGCGGCTTGAAGCAACAAGCGGTACGTTATACACAACCTAATCCATGGAACTGTACTGACACTACTCGCAATAGGCTACTTTTGGTGCCTTCAGCATCTCCATCGCCTGCAGTTGGCGGATCCTTGCCTCCCGCCGTAGGGAAGATCCACGCCTGTCAGTGTCATACGCGCGATTGCCGCTCGCGGCGGGGCACCCGCTCCCCTCGATATCTCACGCGGACTCTCCCTCGCATGCGCTGCTCCCGCCATCCCCGGTGTATCATCGTCGGCGCTGGTGGGAAGCAGGCGCGAGAGGAGAATGATGCTGGAGATGTGCTTGCGAAGATGTTGAGACCTGCCGAGAATGCCATGAGTGGAGGAGGACCAGGAAGAGGAGGTGCGGGGGCTGGTGCTAGGCGCAAGCCACGCTGTGTTCCCCCGACCCGATATCTGCATGTACAAGAGCTGGATGGGTAGTGGGGTGTGGACTGCGTCGTGCATAGTTTCCGTATACTCGTATCCACCTTCTATACTATTCATCTACCATACTGAGTGAGTTTCATGAGTCATGGAGGCAAGTGCAATGCAAAGCTGACTTGGATGGTACTGTACGCCATTCACTAGAGTGTCGGATGTAACGGTCAGGATGACTCAAAAGGTCCGCAATCACCGTGCAAGAAGGATTAGTTGGCACACGTTCTCGCGATTGAGCTCCCGCCACCATCTTCGATACTGCACAGTGCACTGTCTAAAGAACCCTTAACGGCTCTCCCGAGAGATGAGCCTTACGTGTCTGTGTTCCTCCAATGCTGGAAGGAGTCCGTCGCGGGATCTGCACGAGCCACCCAGCATGGTGTTCTTCCTAGCTGCATCTACCGCATTCAATTGACGGGTGATACGCGTCCTCCGCACAACGTCCGCTCAATGCTTGTGAACGGAACGGCGCAACTTCTGTGTCAATCAACACTTCCAATGCAGTCTTGCTTTTCCCATCCGGCGTCCATCAAGTACCCCTGCGTCGCATTCTCATCCCGACATACACGCGAACGGCTTTCCCGCATCACACCTCTGTTGCCCGGTGACTGTCCGGCTAACATTCGATGAGGAGGCGCACGAGTTGCTTCTTCCCCTCTCCTTCCCGCAAGTCAGAGTGCTCGACGTTGGCTTCTCCTTGACTCCTTGAATCCGAACTTCGCGGATACGCTAATCGTTTTCAACACCGGATACATACGATGTCCCCCAACGCATCTTCGACGCCGACTCCTGTGAGTGCTACCGTGTTCAACAACGAAACCTCTCGGACTGATACCCCGAGTCAGACAGAGACCAACAACGATGCGAGACCGGAAGGTGAATCGCGACTTGCCACTTCCGATGCCCCCTCCGACTCTGCGCAACGACTGGACGAAGTCTTATCGACGTTGTCTACGCCCAGATCGGGGAGCGACTCCAACAAGAACGTCCTCGCCCGCGTTCGACGGTCGTTCAAGACACTCGTCCAACCCATGCCGTTGGATAACGCTTTACAAGAAAGCCACCGTGCGCTACGGGCTTACAAGCTTGCAGGAGGTGTGAGGCAGTTGGATGACTCGATTCGCGCCTTGTCGAAGGCTGCGGACTTCGTCTCGACCGAGGGGGAGTCCTTGATCGTTCGACAGAGCCTCGCTCAATGCTTGTACCTGCGCTACGAACATACGAACCAATTGGAACATCTCGATGCTGCTATCGCCGCGCAACGACTTACAGCGGATCTCGCGGCTACGCATCTCCCCAAGAACACTGCTATTCTTTTCCAACTCAGCCAGCTCCTACGGTATCGCTTTCGACGCCTCGAGAGGCTCGAGGATCTCGACGACGCGATCAACGCTCTCCAGCGTGTGATCACTATCGATGATCAAGCGCGTTTCCACGTCGACCTTGGTCTTTGTCTTCGGTACCGCTTCGAAACGTTAGGGAACGTGGACGAGCTGAAGGGCGCCATTACCCATCTGCAGCACGCGCTGTCTATGCTCCCTGACGACGATTCCTACAAGCTCCGCTGCTTGAAAGAACTTGTTCTATGCCTGCGCAGTTCCTTCGGAAACCTCGGACGCCTCGACGACCTGAACAACGCAATCTGGACGAGTGCGCGCGCAGTTCAACTCGCGGGGAAGCTTCAGATGGGCGATGTAAACTGCCTTCTTGATCTTAGCTCCTTGCTATACCTCCGTTTCGAGAATACAGGCCATCTCGAGAACCTCGATGATCTAAACGCAAGCATAGGAAGACGCGAGCAGGCTATCGAGTTCATGGACAACACTCGGCCTTCTATGCTTTCTCAGTCCTTGAACCAGTTGTGTCTCTACCTGCGTCGTCGGTTCGAGTTCGTCGGAGACATTGATGACCTCCATAGTGCCATCGCGGCGCGGGAGCGAGCCGTTGAGCTCATTCCGGACGTTCAGTCAGATGGCGCCAACTTTCGCCTCAGCTTTGCCTCTCTCATATTCCTTCGCTTCGAGAAGCTGGGAAACGTCGAGGACCTCGATCGCAGTATCCAGGTGTGCAGGGAAGAAATCGAGCTCGTGCAACATACTCGAGGACCTAAGCTCGAACGAGTCGCACACCTGAGTCTGCAGCTGCTTCGCCGTTATGAGCGTTCTCACGCGCTTATGGATCTCGAGAACGCGATCGCGGCCAGCCGAGATGCGGTGCAATTGGCACTTCTCCATCGTGATCAGTTCGACAAGGGCGCATTCCATAACCTTCTCGAACTCCGGTCTCAGCGGACGGACGCGCTAACCGACGGTGATTTGGATGCCACCATAGCACGGTGCAAGCGCAACATCAGACACCAGTGGTCCTACTTGGACATGGCGGAGCAGCTGTCGAACTTGGCTCTCTATCACTACTACCGTTTCCTGCGGCAAGGAGACATGGAAGACCTTGACGCTTCGATATCGGCCGCTCAAGATGCGATAGCCGCTGAGCCCAGCGAGTCCGTCGCACATTCAGAGCGATTGATCGCTCTTGGAGCATATCTCCTGCACCGGTTCGAGCATATCGACGACCACGCTGACGTTGACAGTGCTATACTGTCCTCACAACTTGCTTTGGAGTCTCTCTACGAAGGCCACCCGGCGCAACGAAGAGGGCTCATGACCCTGGGGTTCTGTCTCCAATATCGATTTGATCGTCTGAAAGAGATGGATGACATTGAAAACGCCGTAGCGGCAAGGCACCGTTTGATCAAGCTCACTCCAAAGACCCACGCAGACTGGCCAGGCGTCCTTGAACAGCTATGCCTTTCCTTAGAGAGCCGGTTTGTGGGCAACAGAACGTCAGGGAACTACCATACGGCTCGCCGATGCCTTGAAACCGCGATCTCCCAGCCTTTGGGAGAACCATCTTTGCGCCTGAGGGCAGCCGTGCGCTACGAGCAGCTATTGACGGGCTCCCCGGAGCTCAACACGGCGGACTCCCTCCTGCTCTCATACTCGCACATAATCGGTGCTCTTCCTGAACTATCGTGGCTTGTTCACGGCACCCATCAAGGACAGGAGGAGACTGTTCGCATAGGCGATCTCGTGAACAGAGCTGTGAGCACCGCAATCGGTGTCGGTGCTTTGAGCCAGGCTGTGGAATGGTTCGACCTAGGTCGGACGCTGTTCTGGTCACACATCTCGCCACTGCGCACTCCCCTATATGACGTTTGCGGTTGTCATTCAAACCTTGCACGGTCGCTGGCAGACATTCGCACCGAGCTCCAGATCCCCGAATTCACCGCAGGAGAACGACATGGAGCGCTCGTCGGCGAGTACGAGAGGCTCATGAGCGAGATTCACCGTTGCACTGAGTGCAAAAACCCCCTGCGCACAATCAAGCTTGTTGGTCCTGTCTCGCCATCTACGTTCAGTCTTTTCAGTGGCACGGCAGTTCTCATCAACATGGACCAGTCTCGTTGCGACGCACTGGTCCTCTCCTCCGCAGGGGACGTCCGAACAGTTGAGCTGCCTGGACTTACACGGAAGCGGGCGCGTACGATGCGCGATCTCTGGGTAGGGCATATGGAGTTATGCGCAGTTCGGGCGCGTGCTAGCACAGACGCTCGGTCGGCGCTTATGCCCCCGAGCCGGGTGATCTTCTCACAGGTGCTGAAGCGCCTATGGATCTGGGTTGTCTATCCCATTCTACAAGCTCTTGATATTGTAAGTGTATCTCCTTTACACGTCTGAGCGTCGCTGAATGGTTGCCAGTCCCAGACGTCAGCGAACAGCGGTCTACTACCACACGTCGTCTGGTGTCCCACCGGCCCATTGACACACCTTCCTCTGCATGCTGCGGGAGTATACGATGGAGTTCGCCCAGGAGCTCGGGTGTTCGATCTTGTTGTATCGTCGTATATCCCCTCGCTCTCTGCACTCTTGAGATGCTGTGACGAGGTCGCGAGGGAGCACTCCACGCCAAACGTGCTGGTCATCACGCAGCCGGAGATACCGGGCCGATCCTCCCTGCAAGGCGGTCGAAATGAAGGCGCGCTACTTCGTGAAGCCCTTCCAGGTCACGCACAGATGCTACTTGAGCACGACACAGCTACAGTTCAGTCCATCTTAGCTGTCATCGGCCGTCACCCTTGGGTCCATCTCGCATGCCACGGATCGCAGAACCCCGAGGACCCAATGCGGAACGGCTTTGCGCTGTACGATGGCCTGCTCACTCTGGGTGACCTAATGACCTCGGCAACCGACGACACCGAACTGGCATTCTTGTCCGCCTGTCATAGAGTGTCAAGTGATGAGAAGATTTCAGATGAGTCAACCCATCTAGCAGTAGGCATGCTCGCGGTTGGGTTCAAGGGCGTTGTGTCAACCTCGATATGGTCTATCGACATCCGATATGAAGATGAAGTCATTGTCGTGGGAGCATACTATAAATTGCTGCTTGAGACTCGAAGGTCCAAGGGCTTGCAACGAGGGCAGACGGGTGCTGCCTACGCGCTTCACGGAGCGACCAGGCGCCTGAGGGAAGAGATTGGAGAGGAGAGCTTTGAAAGATGGGTTCCTTTCGTGCATTACGGAGCTTAAACGTATTTATATACATAGACGTGTGTCTCATCGGTTAATATACATTCGAAAAGGCTAGATACAGTAGTGCAAGTACATCATATTCCGTGGACGGGTACAGTCGTGTGTTGACGACGTAGACTACTCAAACGGCGTGAACTTCTCCAAGAACTGCTCGGCATCTTTGGCCTCCTTCTCCAAAACCTGCCTATGCCGCTCACTCCTTACTTGTATCAGACACTCAAACGGTTTGGGCCGGATATTGAATCCTTCGGTATAATCGAACGTGTCGTACGTATTGCCCGGAAGAGACTTGACATCGTACGCCCACAGCAACTTGGCGAGCGCGATGTACAACGAGTTCGTCGCAAGATTCGCACCTGGGCAGATGCGACGTCCCCAACCGAATGAGGAGTGTCCGCTTTTGGATGGGTGCGCTTTTCCTCCTAGCTCGACGTCGATCTTTTCGTGAGCACTACTGCTGGCAGTTGTGTTGCTGGCTCTGGCCGCCACGTTCTCGTCCAAGAAGCGCAAGGGGTTGAAGTGGTGCGGATTCGGGTAGTATTCCTCGTTGAGGTTGATAGCCCACGAGTTGCCGAGGATCGTCGTTCCAGCGGGGATGTAGTAGCCCTCAAAGTAGTCGTCTTCCGTCGATGCATGGGGAGTGCCGCCCAGCACGGCGACGGGTCTCCAGCGCAGAACTTCCTTGACAAAGGCTCTGACGTAGGGAAGACGCTCCTCGTCTTCGTACGTCGGTGTTCTGTCAGGACCAACGACTGCGTCCAGTTCAGCGTGCGCAGCGTGGAGAGTATCGGGGTGAGTGACGAGGGCTAAGAAGGCGGAGCACATCGTCGACGCTGTTGTATCGGATCCAGCACCGAAAAGGGAAGCTGGGACGAACGAGAAGTCCCGGTCAGATAACGGGATGTTCTCAGTCTTCCGTGCCTCGAGCACGATCTTGCAGAGCGAGTCGGGCAACTTGTCCGTGGATCTTTCTCTCTCTGCCCTCGCAATGTCCCCTTTCACCAGCTCCATCAGCGCCATATTGGCCACAGCCTCCTGCCTCCCGTGCTCCTTGATATCCCTCTTCCACGGGGCCACAATGTCGGGAACGTACTTCAGCGCCGGGATGCTCTCGACGAGGTATCTCCCTGGCACGTTTAACGACGCCGTGTAGTGCATAATCTCGAAGCGCTCCCGAATGATCTTGGCATCCAAAGAGTCAATTCGATGCCCGTACGCCACACAGAACACTATGCTCGACGTAAACGTCTCGATAAGCTTGACGTAGTCCTCTGACTGGGATAGCAGCCTGTATGCGAGCCGGCTGGCTTCTGCCTCTTGTACCGGCCAGTACAGTCGCAGGGCACGTGGTGTGAGAGCGGTATGCAACAGCTTGCGCCGGGCGCTCCACTTGCGCCCGTACGGCTGCACCAAGATGCTCGCGTTGTCCCACATCAACTCTCCCATGGCGACCATCCGGGGCCGCGAGGAGTACTTGCTACTCCGGACCTCCATGAGCTCCGACGCGACGATAGGGTCTGAGATGACCACCATGGGTTTGCGTCCAATCCAAATGGTGAAGATCGGGCCGTATTGCTTAGACCACTGCTGGAACTGCACCCAGGGCTTGGTCTTCGGCAGCTGAAGCTTGTTGCCGATGAAAGGGAGGGGACGCGGGCCTGGTGGCATTCGGAGCCATATCATGACGTCGTAGAGGAGCGTAACGGCGGGTACGACCAATAGGAGAGAGAGCCAGACGTAGAGTGGCCACGTTGACGGATCGATAGAGATTTCGGGCATCTGGGTCAACACCGGTGAATGTGCAGCGTAGGGCAGGGTGAAGCACGATTGCCTCTGCGCGTGGAGGTTAGAAGAGATACGCAGAAGAGCATGAAGCAGCCCTTACCTCGTTGAATAGAGTGCGTAGCGGTTCCGGCGCTTCGATGATCACGAGTGCTCCCCCTTCCACGACTTCGACTCTATCTTTCCATATGTGGGTAGAAGTTCGCTCCTTCGTACCTCCCTCTCTCGCAGGGCGACGTACTATGGCCTAGGGCTGGAGGCGATCCCCTGGCTTCCGCGTATTTTGAGAATGATCCCCACACGCGACAGCTCGAGACGCAGATCCGGCTTGCGCGTGCGGTGGTTTGCGACGCGTTGGACGCGTCCATCAGGTGACCGCGCCAAAACTGAAGACGCGCCCTTTGCGGTTGCCGTCGGACTGCCGCACGTCTTCCAGCGCCAGTAGGCGCTGTGGGATTATGACGTCTCTGGGACAGTATTCATGAGATGACGAAGAGCGGGAGCTATACCATAACTCACCCAGTCGGAAGTCCTGACCTGTGTTGACAAGATTCAACGGAAGCGGTCTTCACACGCCGCAGGAGTTCAACTTGCGATCCGCAACATGCTCTTCCTCCTGAAGTAGTCGTTAGTTTAAGAAGCTTGCGCGGGGATAGCAGGATGCAGGTGTTTGTAAGCCGGCTCACCTAGTCTTAAGCTCTACCTTCATCAAGTTCATGCGATGATGGTTCGAGTCGAACATACGAAGCGGCCTTGCTCGGAAACGGAGCGGAGATCGGGCCGAGAGCATCCGAGCTGGACCCAGTGGCAGTGGACGCTATTAGGATGCTTGCTTTCTCCCTTGATGTACGGAACAATCAAACAATTCACTGGTGGCTCGCAGCTCATAAGTAGCTCAAAGCCTATTCCTCTCAAGTGTCCTCTTCGTTGTACTGATTGCATTCCCTCGCCAACGAGCGGCGATGACCTGATGCTTCTACTCGACAACCAGCTATCATCTTCATCTCCAACGTGTTTGCCTCGGGGCTTCCACTGTCGAAAGTTCAAGGACTCGTCTCTCAGTAACACCATGTGCTGTGGGAGAGTGGCCACGTAGCAGTCGTACTAGCGATGATACACAGCTGCATGGCTGCAGGGACTGGCCGTGTCTATAAGGAACAACGGACGGCATGGGCTAAGTGCAAGCGACTACCTTGGCGGCCCACCCTTCCCTCCGCCGGTACCGATCTACTCGAGTACAATCATGTCCCCCTACCTGTCCAGACGGACCTCACATGAAATTTCTTCGGGAACTAACACGTACGTCGCAGGCTAATCCAGATCCAAGTTTTGCCTGGTTGACCAGGCGATGGGAGCAGGTCGAGCTCGACGGAGCATCACCCTTCTACACGCTCGCACGCCACCCACTCCCTCGACTGGAGGTTTCCTCCGTTGGATATTGAACGGAGATATGCGTACACTCTATCTCACCGGGGTGTTCACGAGCCGCACACTGACTGCCCGAACTCCCTCAACTGCTTCCCCGATATCGAAACGAAACCTATATCCCCGACCTCCGCACTTGTACGCTGCGCCATTCTCGAAAGCGAAACAGGCCATCTCGACGTCAAAGATATTACTATTGCTCTACAACTCAAATTCCCCTACTTTTGTACTATTGGCGGTACGAGTGAACTCGAGGTGCGTAATCCCCGAGTTGAACATGACTATGGTGCTGAGTTGCAATCGCCAGCGATCTATACCTCATGCTCTGGCAATGAACCCATGCTTTGTTCGACGGGAAAGCTGGACAGGGGATCTATGGTCGGTGGAAAGATTAACGTCGATTACGGCCTATCGACTCGGAAACACGACCTCCCAAACCTTGCTATCTCCGCAAACCGCCGTGACCGTCTCTTCCCCTCACCCTGACGCATCTGTACGTCTTGCGAGTGGCACCACATATCCCATCGGATCCACCCGCGGTCCTGCCGATCACGAGCCTGGGGGCCAACGCTCCGACTGGACAGCGGTGCCATCTTTGGAAGTGACCTCCGACAGTTACACTCCTTCATTCGGCAGAGCCAGCTATACGTATCTTGTCGACGAGAACGGGAAACACCCAAGCCATGTAGACTGTGTCAGCTCCCTCAGCTGTCTTCCTGATACAAACGGCAAACCGAACTGTATCTGGAACATACTCTTACGCGCGGCCATCCTCGGGAGCCCCGACCGACGACTCTCCATCAGAGAACTGTATCAGGAACTGATGAACAAGTTTCCCTACTATGCAAGGCTGTCGCCGGACGAGCTGCAAAGATGGAAGGTAAGCTTATGACGACTTGAACGGTATTTATTGACCTGACGAGTCCGACGACGGCAACCTCTAGCAAACCATCCGCCACAATCTCTCAGTCTTCAGCATCTTCGTCAAGATTGACAAACAACCCGGGGACCCGATATGGGGCTCCTACTGGACGATCGATCTGGACGCATCACTCCAGGAGGTCAAACGTCCGCTGAAGCGCGCAGGCGGCGCGATCAAGCCGGCATCCCTGCGATCACCCAGAGTCGAACATCGATTCGTGGGACCTCCTACTCCGAGTCCACGTCGGATCGAGCACCGTGCGCCAACGGAGTATGGCTATCCTGTCCCTCTGACGATCCCTCCAGCGAAGGCTGTCACGGCGCAGGCTCGTGAAGATGATGAGCGGACTGCAGGCGAAGACGGAAGCGGGTTATCTAGCGCGGCCGGCTCTGCGTCGGGAAAAGCCAGCCAGGCTTGTGAGACATGTACATGCATGTAAAGGATCCCAACGACCCCAATTTTCGGGGGACCTTTAACTACCTTACACCCGCAAGGTCAACGTGGACATTCATTTGAAGGTCTCGCTAACCTTTAAAGCTCCTTCAAGGTCCCGTGAACCTTGCGATACCCTCAGCACCTTCAAATACTAGAAGCAGTTTCAAATGCAAATCATTAAAGCCTGCCTACGACAACCGAAATACATATATATATTATTTTCCTAATTAGACAAAAATTCACTGCGACCATGATTGTAAAGAATATATTCATAAGGGGTACAGTAATATACAGGTAGACGAGCTCCCAGTAGGACACCTAGTAGACGGGGACCTTCCAACCATACAAACACCCTACGAGCATGAACGCCGTGCCGCACATCGCTTCGTCTCGTCCCGCGCGCATAAGCTCGGATTGCCTGAAAAACCGTGAGCTCGAGCTTTGGCTTGTTCAAGATAGCAACATACCTCAAGACTTGACGAGTAGGTTCTCTCAAAGAGCATAAGCGGTAGTGCCTATCGGGTGGTGTCAGTGAGGAGCGGTGAGGAGCGGTGAGGGGACGAGCATGAATAAGCGCGAGTGCATGGGAGACCGCACCGGAAGCGCAGGCCGGATTGAGCGGTAAAGTACACCTGCCGCGTCGCAGAGA